GATAGTTTTACATCCTTAAAGAGGCTGTAGAGTGTAACATTTAACCCCTGTGAGTAAGTATAGCCCAGGCAGAGTCTGCACCACACACAGAGTATATTTAAGTGTAAAGCTGTGACCCCCTTGTTTTCCAGTAAGAGGAAATTGTCATGCAATGACCCAGTGACCACAATGGAAACCACTTCCCCCTTTGTTTTGATTTTATATGGCTTAACCGCCTCATTTCCCATGTTCAGGCCCTGCAGTCTACAGTCCATCACATTTTGTCACATCCACGTTGCTCTTCTGTTTCTGCCATCTATGACCTTTCAGTGTTTGTTGACCAAGACACCAAAAGCCTCAAAATTGCAAAACTTTACAAATGTTGCACTCAAAACTGTCTATGTTTAGTGTGCGAGTGGGCTGTATGGATCATTCTCATGGTTTTTAAGTGACCATTAGACAAAGACGGAAGACAAACACTGAAATTGTGGAGTTGTTTTTCTCTCCCCATATAGCTCTTTTTTTCTTTCTTTTTTTCTTTTTACCTCGTCACACCCCCAAAGTTTTATTTTACACTTACAAACTCTGATGTAGTCTATATCAACTGAAAAGAAAGAGAAAAAAAATCAAGACTTATGACAACAAACTATACAATGTAAACAACATAAACAAACACACATGATCATGAAGAAGACCTGACCTCCTTCTCTTCTCCTCACATAGTTTTACTTTGGAGAAATTCCACTAAAACTTCCACTTCATTGTTAATATGTCCGAACCTACGGTTACATAATTAGGAAAGCTTCGTCACAGCTCCTGGTTGATTAGGAATCAACAATTAGGTAGTTTTGTGGGGCGCTGACGAAACACAATCCCCTCTTTATACTCAGCCTCTGCTGTAACCACCTCAGAGCCAATGCAAAGATACAGATTGAATTATGTTTTACATTACCAACTTAAGCTCTTTGGGTGAAAATTAGCCAAATGACTATCTTTCTGTGTCATTATTGACAGAAGAAGTGTTAGATGCTTGTAACCATAAACACCACACACAAGAGTTTTGACTATTCCAGATGGCCAATACAGTTTGTCCTGGACATAGCGCTTCTGTGGTATGACCCCCTTTCCCTCTAATTCTCCCTCTCACTGTCTCTTCCTCTCAATCTCGTTGCCTTCTCTCCATCCTCTTTTCAGTCCACAGCAATTAGAGAGACAAAGTGGGAAAAGAGGAATGTGTGAGCACGCTTTGTGAGGACCGAGAGAGGGAGTACAAGGGAGAAAGTGAGCGATAAAGAGAGAGGGAGAGATGAGAGATAGAGGAGGAGAGGAGAAGAAAGGAGAGGAGAAGGCCCATCTTAATTGGCCTGTGTAGCCACGCTGGGCTGTGATGGTCTGGGCTTGCCAAACCCTGTGCCTCAATAGTTGGCCTGGCCTTACATGCATCCCGTGCATCCGGCCAACCACAACTAACTCTAGTGTGCTCTTTGGCAGTTTCCAATGTCAGGCCTGGGAGAGTTGTGCCACCCACATCTCCACTCCACAGTTCAGGAGGCCTCTCTGTTGGGGATGGATACGTGGGTTTGCGTTTATGGCATATTTGTCTCCACCACTTTTATGTTGAGGTGGCAATTTTTGTGCTGTCTCTATTGTTTACTTATTTAGGATAATTTTATAGTGGCAATATGTCCCAGCTCCAGATTTAGACACAATGGTATGTTTAAATTTAAGAAGTTAAAAATGCCCTTGCTGAATTTACATGCATACCTCGGACAGATGGGAAGAAAAGCTTTGTTCTGTTCTATGTAACAAAGGGATTAATACTCAATAATGAAATCATTAATGAAAATGCAATTTCTTTCAGCTCTACTGCAACGTCTCTTTCTAGACTGTGCTACACTACTGCAGTATAGCCTTGAATAAACTTGACACCTTAGCCTTAGATGTTTTGGTTTGACTGGTGTCTTGTGTTGCTTTGGATGCTGAGGAGCACAGTTCCTGCTTTAATATGTAAACTGTAAAGAGTCATCCTGGCTGCAGGGAACAAGTATGGAGCAAAACATGTTCACATCGTCGCAACGAGCCACGCTTCAGAAACAAAACATTTTTGATAGTATATGTTTCCAGTGTTTTCCCCTGTTTTTTGTGGGGGAACAGACTCCTTAGTGGGGTAATAAGGTTTCATGAGACAGGCAAAGGTGATTTAATAGAGCGATTTATGACCATAAAACACAGAACATGAGCTCCTCTACATTAGCCCACCAGCTTCTCCACTTTGCCAGAAGCAACACATGTGCATCCCATCATTGTAAGACAAAACTTTGCGCCAAAGCCAAAGAAAAATAGATCCTCCACCTATGGTTGTAAAATTCAAAGTCTTTGATTCCAGCCTGAAACACTGCAAAGAACTTCAATAAACTGTTGAACAAAGATAACCCCTGTGCCCCAAACTGTTCCATTCTGGGAACAAAGATAGTATGTTGTAAATCTGCCTGGCAACAGACATCTCATGGGTGGGTGTGTGTATGCATGTCAACAATGAAAGGTTGGGCCATTTACAGAATATGCATGTGATAATTTGAGACATGTTGGTTACTAAAATAGGCTTCTGAAGGGGAGATTACTCCGGTAGTTGGCAAGCCACTGGAGGATGGATGGATAGATGTACAGATGGGTGTGCCAAAGGCAGTGAGAACAGGTCAGGTTTAGTGTGGCATGCAGAAGGAGAAGGTCTGAAGAGCAGGCAGATTGAGAGAGAGAGAGACAGAGAGAAGAAAATGGTGTGAGTGAGAGGAGGAGAGTGGGTGCTAAAAGCAGCTGGAGATTTTTGCAAGGCCTGAAGATGTAATAAATCATTTATAGGGTACATAAGGTTTAACCGATATAAAGGGATTTCAAAAATGCACATATAAAGAAAAATGTAAGCACACATCCAAGGCAGGCAAATGTGCAGAACAAAGTAGTAAATCAGCATTGAATGTTTGATAAAATGTTTTTTTATTGATATTAAAAATGAAAGTACATGAATTGTGCATTTCGGACGTCCTAGCGTGCAGAGGTTAAATCAATAAAATACACACAGGCTGAGTGATCTACTGATACAGAAGAAGTTGCCTTTGCTCAGCAAGATATTTCTTCATATTCAGCGAAAAGAAGTGGTTGTCTTCCACGCCATTCATAAGAACACTAGAGTAGCCTGTTTGAACATTACAATAGTGAATGAATGCAGTCCTAGCAGGAAAATATAAAATAAAATATAAAATATTATAATAATATCAATAATAATAATAATTGCACTGCCTGCTTTGTTGCACAACTGAAGTAGAATATAATTAGAGACAAGATGCAGCCTTGATAATTGAGATCTCTCTGACAGAAAAAAGACAAAGTGTTCTCTCGACTCTACACCACAATATGGCAACTATCCATTGAGTCACCGTTTCATGGGGTGATGCATGACACAACAGAGGAGGAAACTGTGATAATGTGGCACAGGATGACCTTGCTTCTGACATGGGCTTCAGTGGTTTGTTACAGAGAACTTATTATTGTGGCCAGGTATGGGTAACAACCTCAGCTCACCTTCCACAACAAGCTTATCTCTTAAACTCAGCAACGATTCCACTTCTCCCTTAGAGAGCACATTTTTTTTCCTGAGTGCTTCAGAAATGTTTCAGCATGATAGCCCTTCAGTAAATGCATAATGGATGCATTAGTGGAAGATTGTGAGGGATGAATCCCGAACCCCAAACACACATACCAATGCAAATACAGATGCATATTGATGATGCACAAGATCAAGATATCTTGATGATGTACAGAGTCACTGTGCTATACCAAAAAGAGACTTCGATAGATAGATAGATAGATAGATAGATAGATAGATAGATAGATAGATAGATAGATAGATAGATAGATAGATAGATAGATAGATAGATAGATAGATAGATAGATAGATAGATAGATAGATAGATAGATAGATAGATGGTCTCTCTTTGACAGACAGTGACTTTCAAATGACCTTTGATGTTTGCTAGCATCACACCAACGTTGGCATGAATAGGATGACTTGGTTATGTGTAATGCAAACCCACAACTCCACGGCTGAGTGGACACTTATGGCCTCATGACCCAACTAAGAGTATCAGTGGGACTGGCACTGCATTAGATGTTCCTTAGAAGATCATAGGACACCATGCACACTTATAAAAACACAGTTTAATGAAGGACTCGTCATTCCCCCTCCCCTACCATCAATACTAAAGTGGCTTAAAAAACATAGTGGGTTTGAGTAATATCCATGTTGAACAGTTATTTCTCTTTTTTTTCCAGCAATGAAAAAGTTACTCATTGATGCTTTCATTTTCTCAGACAACCCTGACAGGCTCCTGGAAATCCATGCAGACCAACAGATTAAGAGTATGTGCCTATTTTTGTGACATAACATGCCTAAGCAATCCAGGCTATGCTGCTGTTAAAATATTAATTTAAAGGACTATGGCAAATGAAACAGGAAAAAAACAACATTTTTGGTACAAAGCATCTACAAAAAAAAGCCTTACAACTCCAATTGGAAAACAGAGATCATACAAAATAAATCTAGCAGTTGAGCATCAGTGCTACGTATATTATTTGGACCAATTTTTCAAATATATTTTATAACAAAATAAATAATGCCTTTATACAGTGCCCTTATTTGTATTTCAACAAACGAACAAAAAAGCTTGGCGGCTCATTACGCAAGGTACAGCTCAGACTAAAGGAAAATAACACAACGTCCCTGGAAACTAATAGTATATCTATATATCTATATCTATATATATATCTATAATGAATGTCTATATATATATATATATATATATATATATATATATACATATACACACACATATATATATATATATATATATATATATAGATATATATATAATATATATATATAGATATATATATATATATATATATATATATATATATATATATATATATATATAGATATATATATAGATATATATATAGATATATATATATACATGTAGACGTGTATATATATAAATATAGTTTCAAGTATTTGTTTTCAGGCAAAAGCATGTGAATACTACTGATATACAATAAAAATAAAATGTTAGTTGACATTATTGCTGTTTTTTCCCTTTCTTTATAACTGTAAAATAACATCATAACAATAAAAAAAAGCCTAACTTGGAAAAACAGGAATGTCACGGTACCAGAAACTGACAGGGTTTTCCTTTTTTTTTTTTCATTGAAACATTGATATGAAAAAAGACAAAAAATAAAATATAATCATCATTATCCCACTTGTTCTTAGTCCATGCCATGTTACTTCCTGCCAGAACAGTCCACAAAGCCATGGCAAACAGGAAGTACTGTCCCCAAACTATAGTACTGTCCCAATCCAGGTGGTCCATGGTGTCCCGTATGTGTCCCCATAGTGCTCCATGTGTCCAGCAGCCTCAGAGGGACAGGAGGAACAGGGACTTGGTCTCGGGTCATCCCTTGCTGCTTATGCTGGCAAACTAGTAAATAGCCGCCGCTAGCACTCACCATGAGCCTAGATGCCAACACAGCCCATATTTTTCCTCAGTGACTCTTCCCCCTTGACATTGCCACTGCCAGGAGCTCCCCCATATCCTTTATTTTATTTAAAAAAAGTCACACTTTCCTTAAAACGGAAAGCTTTAATTATTAATTCAAAGAGAAAAAAAAACGTGCTTTTCCACCTCTTCTTTGAGTCCATTCCCAAAGCTAGCACCATGACATTTTTTTAAGCTACACGTTCATTGTTCATAAAAAAATAGTGCCATTTTTTTCTTTACTTTGACGTAATCCGTGGCAATGTGCAATTTTGCAGACTCTTTTCTGCTTTTTGTTTGTGATCAAAAGGTGCTGGAACAGGAATCTAATTTTATAAAATAATTCCTTACAGTGTGGAAGTCCCTTTATAGGTAGAGGTGCAAACTAAAGAACTAACAGAGATTTTCTTTTCGCCTCAGGAAAAATGATGTGGAATGGATTCTTTCATGCAAGCAGCTCTTCACTTTCAGTTGTCTTCCACAAGGACAAAAAACATTCCGCTAGGTGTCCTCTTGACACTTGCAAACGACAGATCTCTTTCATCTTCTTTTTCCCTTCTCTTTTTGTCTTTTGCTTAAGGATCCACCTGAACCGCATTCAGCCGAATTGTTAACTTTTTGTTCGACATTTGTGTTTGTGCCTTTTGTATCAGTGACTGAAAGAGAGTGGGAGAGAAAGAGTTCAGACAGGAAGAATGTGAAGGCATGTCTGTGTGCCAGAGGAGGGTGGGCTGGTGGGGAGGGGGGAGTTCGGGGGGAAGGGGGGGCATTAGAAAAGGGCCAGGGGTTCAAGACGTAGTGGATATGTGCAGGGGGAGGGATTGGTGAGCTCGGACAGGGCAGGGGAGGTCAAAGAGGACTGCCACAGAAATGACGTCAGAGACAAAGCTATAATCCCCTAGTCTTTTTTTCACCCTCAAAACTCTTGTCTGTGCAAAGGGCTGGCAGCGGGCTCATTTGTGGCTGACAAAGTTGTCCGTGGTGAGCAACACGGGAGGCAGCTTGCTAGGAAGGCTGATCAGGGGCCTGTGGAAGATAGCCTGCTCCTTGGCTTTAATCTTCTCCGCGTGCCTCTTAAACTTTCTGGCCCTCAGAATGGCGGGGACACCCCTCCGGAGCCGCTGGGCCGCCTTCCTCTGCCACACCTCGTATTTGGAATACTTCACGGTCACATGTTGCTTCTTCGGGACTTCCTATTGTGGCGTGCGGGCGAAAATAGAGGAGAAAAGGGAAAAGAGGGAGTCAGTTCATTAGGGTGATAAGATATTGTTCAAGTGCTTATTACAATGGAGGAAAGCCTTGTTTATTATGTGAAAACATTCAGTCATTTTTGGGCCAGTGAAACGGAAATCAAATGTCATTCTTAGAGTGCTGAACGTCATAACAGATTCGCCTTGTCCTTGTTTTAGTTTCCTTGACTGGGAGAGGCTGTCAACAAGCGCCTAGTTCAGCCTCTTTAACATAATGTCAAAGGGAAGGGCGGTCACTTGTCTCATATACATATGAGGAGCCGGCACTCACTCAGCCACTCATTGAACTTTGTAGCCTTCACAGAAATGCATACAAACACAATTCACAAACTTCAATTCTTACGCAGAAGACTCCTTTAAACAATGCTAGGTGTTGTCTTGAGCACCAGGGACAAAGCAGGAGGGGTCGCAATGAAGCTAGAATTTATGTGTGAGTAGCCAGTGCTAGATCTGAATGGCTTGTTTTGGTCCTGCCACTTGAAGAGTGTTTATCCCCCTTCATTCACTCCAGGCCTTCTCAATAGCCCAAGAACAGCTGGCCCTCAGAGCAGGCTGTACCCATCAACTCTCCCAACACAGAAAAACTAGAGACATGTCCAAACTAAGTCCCTAACAGCCTTTTATTTTCGTTCTTTCTTTCTTTCTTTCTTTCTTTCTTTCTTTCTTTCTTTCTTTCTTTCTTTCTTTCTTTCTTTCTTTCTTTCTTTCTTTCTTTCGTTCTTTCAAATGCCTATTACTTTCCTCAGTAACGGTATTTATATCTATACATTTTTAGCAGTGTCAGTACTGATTTTATGAGCAGTCAAAACAAAAACATCTTTTTTAGGCTTGTTTAAAAGTTTAACTGGCTTTAAGAGGTCTGGCAAGCAACTGCTCTTGTGAATCCATTAAAAAGATCTGAAACTCTTCCGCATGTCTGTGACATATTTCAGAAGAGCTTTGGTGGTTCGGGACAGGCACAAATACATTTTGTCCACCATCTTACAGGACATATACGCACTTAACACACACCCTTTTCCTGAATATAACGTGTTATGACTTTTGTGATGTTTTCCATGACTGTCAGCACTTTCTTTGTAAGTTGAGTGCTTTCCATTGGCCAATTAACTAGATATAACTGCGTTAGCATGGGTACACTGTACTCAAGAGTCAGTGACATAGGGGCTAGGCTTAGAGGTGAATGGGGGCACAGGAGATGGGAGGACAGATAGAGCTGGGATTAGCACTATTTCCCATACTGGCCTGTTGTTGTTGTTGCTTAGACGTACCTGTTTTAGTGCGGGCATCACCGGTATGACCTGTAGAGAGGTGGCTGACACGTCCCTTTCGGACTTGGCAGGTTTGGCACAGTACTGCTCCAGTAGGTTGAGGTCACAGCTACGGAAACAACACTCCTCTACAATCCCACGGGTCTGGGGGCGTCGGTTGTTACCCCTGCTGGTTGGCCTACCTGAGGAAAAATACAAAAAGGAGTGAAGACGTAGAGGTTAGGGACTGCAAACACAACATCAGTAATGAATCAAGGTTGTTTTTGCAGGATTACTTCGACAGTCATAGCAGCCCTTGGAGCAAAGAGGATAAAAGGAACTCTATGGCCAACTGCAACAAATCTTTTCGTTTGTAGAGGATAATCTGATTAGGGCTATCTGGAAGTCCTTAAATGAGTGAATACACAAGTAAACACCCTGTGCTGTAGAGACCAAAGGGGAGCAGCAAAGACATCTAAGCTCTCAGGTATATTAGGCATAGCAAAATATATAAAATGGAAAACTCTTCTTTGACCTTGTTCTCTGCCAAGTCAGCAGAGATAAATACGCTGAGGAGAGAGGAACAGTAGGGAAGTAGAGATATCAGGAGAAAGGGGATGGGTGCAGACAGGGAATGTGAGGGTCAAAACAGAGGTAAAGAATGCATAAGAAAAGAGGGCTAAAGCAAGAGAGAGAAAGGTATAGAAAAAAAGGGTTGGATGGTTAGCATGTTGCACAGGAGAACATTATCCACAATGAATAAAGGCCTTGTTTGCTGTCCTGTGACCCAAACAATGTTTGAGAAATCTCATGGGATGGCCAGATTTGATAGCAGAAGAAAACGAAAATGTGCTGTAGGGGGTGGGGGGACAAAGAGAAGGGAGCACATCTATGTTGGCCCAAATTGGATAACGATCTTCCTGATTGGTAAAGAAGCTGCTGTGGCAAGCAGCACACAAAGAAAACACCTTGATTTTCAAAGCAACAGCTAAAATTGTTTTTTTTTTCAGCTGAAGTGTTTGAAATCAGATTATTGAGAGGAAGGTGAAGTTATGTATGTCACAAACAGTGCAGACTGTGCGAACAGAGGCTTTCGCAGTTTAGGATTAACAGCTACCACAATGCTTCCTCAAACACTGCTTTACAATTACTCCATCTTCATGGAAGCAATGATTAGAATTGATGAGCTCTTCTCTTAGCCTGACATCAACAACCCCCCACCTCAACCAACTCATCAGTGTGGTCTCCTGGCCTGGGAACACTATTGCTGAGGTGACTGGTATGCCTCATGGGGTGCTATTACTTTACTGGTAAACAAGCAGCCTATTGTGTCGCCAGTGTGTGTGTGCCTTTGCAGTTCACCAGTCTTTCATATGCAATGAGAGGTATGGGCTGTAAGCAGACTCGGCAGAGAGAGAAGCCTGGACCAGGTCTTGAGACACACAGCTGGCTATAATCTCCCCCTGTGTGTATGCGCACGCGCTAGTGTGAGTGAGTGCGTGAGAAAGAAAAATAGCAAACACGCATACCACACAACCGCAGCACAGTCTCAGCTCTCCAAACCAGAGGTGGCAAAAGTACAGACATTCTGTCCTTCAGTAGAAGTAGAGACACTAGTGTTAAAAAAATACTCCAGTAAAAGTTGAAGTACTGAAGCTACTTCTTTACTCAAGTAAAAGTGAAAAAGTACAGGCTCTGAAATTATCTCAAAGTAAGAAAGTAAAAGTAGCTCTTTGAGGAATATTTCTACCAGTTATTTTTGTGCAAAGCTCACTGAACCTTGTGTGATACTAATGTAATAATTAAATAATATTGGTAGATAGGAATGCAGAATTTCAGTCTGAATTTTAGAGAAAAAGGAGGAAAATAAAAAGTCTCTCTATTTTCTGTTGCCTACATTGTAGATGGTTTTAAACAGGAAAATGAGTAGGGAAGAGGTTAAAGTGGGATTCAGCAGGTGGGGGATCCTAAAATCGGCTGTAATGGCTCAGTGTGGGGGAAAGAGTCACAACTCACGAGAATTTCTATTGAGAGCTCCAGTAGATTTTCTTTGTGTACAGGCTGTGATTAGCTGATCTGTACTGCTGCTGCTGCTCTGAGGTTTACTGGTCTTTGCTGAATTCAACAAGATGTCAGCAGATGTTGCATAAATTGTCCTCGCTGATTTCCATCCACTGTTTATGCTGTCCTTATATTAGACAATATACAGTTGATATGAAGGTAGAATTCAGTGAATAAATCCCACCAGCTGCACTTGATGTAACCTCCCTCTGACCATGAGCACACAGCCACTGTGTACCAGTCACACATTGTTCTTTACTTAAAATCCATCACAGTACAGCAAACTCACCTGTTTGTCCTAAACAAGTAAAAAAAAAAGAAACAAATAAAAAAAAAAACCTTCCAACTTTAACCACTGACTGTGGTACTCGCTTTTGCCTCTTTCATCTCTTTTTGTGCGACATCCACTGGTGATTAATACGCAAATGTGATTGCGGTTTGATGTTTGAAGGCTCAAAGACGTTAAATAATAACCACCGTCAAATGGATTAAAGCAAAAGTCGCTAGCTTGTTTTGAAAATGTAAGGAGTAGAAAGTACAGATATGTGTTTAAAAATGTAGGGAGCAAAAGTTTTACCTGAAAATTCTAATCGAGTACAGTAACGAAGTATTTGTACTTCGTTACTTCCCACCTCTGCTCCAAACAGATGTGTGCAAGCGAACAACAGAGAGATTCAACAGGCAAATGAGCATTCACACAGCCCATCGTGAAAACTTGTAATGCTTTGAAACCTACTGAAATAAAAGCCTCTGTCTTCACAGACAAACTGCAGCGCATCCACCAGTTCTCCCCCACACAGCGTCTCCGCCGAGGCCATTTCCACTACGTAGAGCGTCAGGGCCAGTGCAAAGAGCAGCGCGCGACTCGTCGAAGACATCCTCTTGACCTGCGGAATGAAGCATGGGGGTCACCAAATGTAGCCATGACATGCAGAAAGTTGTGGCATACAGAAATCATTAACGAAATAACAGTTAATGACATTTTTAAATACCATTTTTTAATCAAAATCAGCCACTGGTTTTTTTGTTTTTTTTGTTTTTGTTTTTGTTTTTTCAGACGAAGAGGGTACAGTCTTCATCACAGGCTCCCGCTGTGTACGGTGTACGTGCTCAAATGTTCGACAAAGTAGAAATTCAGAAAAAGAAAATCATCTCAAATCATGTCGCAATATGCAGACCCACTCTTCACCTTCCCCGCCCGCTATTATCAGCTGCTGTCATGTCTGTCGCACCTGAAGAAGTGCTTATTCTGGAGGAAAAAACAAGTCGCCAGTATCACCAGCTTTCCACTCTTACACAACCCTCCTGAAGTTGCAAGGCCGGCTGCTCGATAGTTAACTAGCCGAAAACACCAAACTCAGCATATATTTTCCCTTTGCTCACCCCGGAATGAGCTCACTGACCCTCAAACCTGCCGCCCCCTATCTGCCGGTAAAAAAAATCAGCTGTTTGCTCCGTGTCCACGACACCATCCAGGCGCGAGAGGACTAAAATTACTTGTTCTTTTTCTATCCCAAATGCCTCAAAGCTTCTCCTCGCCGTTTATGCATCTTGAACTTTCTCTGCTGCATACAAATCAAAAGATGTCCCGGTTCTCATACTGCACAAAACTGATGCGAGCACTGCATCTACAGAACCCGAACTGGTTTTCCTACTTATAAAACCAAGACAACTCCGCTATAACCCTGTCAGACGTCTTTCATTACGCACACGGCAGAGCCGGAGAGTATAAAACAATTTGCTTGTTCTTTGGTTACCTTCATTCGGCTGTTCTGCGTTCTCCGGCAGGTGTGGCAAAGTGAGTGATGTCCGTATCTTTGCTGGGTTTCCATGTCAGATGGCAGTAGTCAAAACGTTGGGAGTTATTTGGTTGGAGAAATTGCAGGTGAGTTAGTTTCCCAGTTGGTTAAACTATAGAGATGGTGAGTGAGAAGCTGTCCCAAAGACTAGGCGACAGGCAAAACTTCTCAGGGAGAGGTATTATATACTAAAGCACGCCCCTTACACCCACCCCACCCCTTGCTCCTCCTCTTCGCCCATGAAAAAAAAAGAAGGCCCAGAGACGTTTCATGAAAGTGCTTGAAGGGAGAATAAGAGGGTGAGAGTCACAAAATATGGAACACTTCCATGGGCATTTTCCACGTTTACGCACTGTAACCTACAATCACAATGTTTACACACAGGACGCAGACTGAACAAGAATAGGGGTAATTCCTTCGACTCCAAGAAAAATGTCAATGTCTCCGCCCTGCTGTAATTAAGATTAACATTCAGTGGAATCACTGTGGCCAAGGTTTGCGGCTTCCCTCAGACTGCTTAGATGCAGGCACTGGGGTCAAAGGTGCCTGACAGTGAAGGGGAGATAAAACTGGGGGATCATGCAGTAGAAAGCGGATGCAGCGGGACACCAAGTGGGAAAGTAGATGCAGGCATGTCTCAAGCCACACATATGATGGATGGTCATATGATGGAGAGCTTTACTAATGCATTAGTATGCACATTATGACAAATATGCATCATACAGTCCAGCAGCACTACTTTATGCAGATATTGAACAGGTACCATCAGAGGAGACAAAGAGTGATCCATACTTTGAAAATCTGATTTTAGCATATAAACACGCACATTCACGTTATGCTTTATAAAACTCTTCGAGGGTCCCCTTATTTCAGTGTGTGTTCTGGTGAAGGTAAAGATCTGGACGTGTCTTCAGACTCATATTGACACCTGCTGGTCAGGTTACGGTACCTCCGTTTGTTTGTCCTCCAGCTTTCGGCTTTCCAGCTTTTGTGCTGGAATGTTGAATCCTGGATTTGATCGCATCTTCTTACCTGAACAGAAGGAAGCGTGTCCCAGCAAACTCGTGTTCTCTTTCACAGCTTAACATTTCTCTCTTATGCACAGCATTTCTCAGGGTTATTTCAAAACAGCACACGCTGTAAAAAGTAGATCTTTTAAAAGTAGATAATATATAAACTTAATTTATATATTAGCGATGATTATGCAGAATAACAGTTTCAAAAATGGCTGATTTCTGATTTATTTATTTATTTTCAATAAAGCACATTAAATAGAGTTTCTATAGTGCATTTAGTGTCATTAAAATGTCTTGGGGTTGTTTGTGAGCTTTAGCTTGTTTTTAAGACCGAATAACGTCTCAAAGCAGAGATTGGTGACAGGAAGAGAACCTTAAGAAGATTTATTCTCTCAAAAAAATTCAATAAATATGCTGTGATTTTATGACGAGGCAGGCCAAAACAGCTAGACAGCTCCCTCTTGCGATAGACAAATGTAAAGCAAGAATCTATAGAACGCCAGGACTGCCATAATGAATTAATTAAATACACCATTAAATAATTAATGTGGCAATAATTAATTAAAATTGGAATTAATTAATTAAATAAATAGTTATGATACATGTAATTAATTAATTATTGACACATTTAATTAATTATTTAATGGTGTATTTAATTAATTCATTATGGCAGTCCTGGCGTTCCATAAGAAGCAGCCAGGTGTCGTTAAATAATAATTCATGCCAAAGTATTTCTAGGTTTTCCCATCAGCGATAAGAGCAAAAACCTATCAAATATAATACAATTATTTATATTTTTAGTTTAACTGTAGGAATAAAACTTGATAAATCACAGAAACGATAGTGGAATGTTAATTTGCAGTTCTTTATTATCTGATAGTTTCTAATCAATAGGTTATTACATAGATTCTCCCCTCCCCCTTTTTATTATGCATTTACACTGCAAGACGAAACCAGCATAAAATACACAATGCAAGACAAGAACAGCATATGAAAGCCATGGATTTAATTACTCAAATGCTAAATTCACATATTTGGAAAATAAAGCTTTTGACAGAGCAGTTACAGATTTTTTTCTAAATAAAATAAACGATCCAAATATACACCATTATAATTCTTTAATTTCAAAATATCTATACCATAGCTATATAGTCTTCTTTTAATACATTCATTATCAGAGTTCTCCTTGATGTGACTCTAGATTTGACACATTTCTCAAACAACAAACTTTAAAAGCATGAATGGTCCAGTCAGTAAAACCCCATCATTTCACAAATGCAAGCATTTAAGATCTTTGGATACTTTGTCAGCGCTGAGTTTTGAGGTTTTAATGGTTGCAACCTTGCTGGAAAACCAGCCAACCACAACGAGCAAAACTCAGATTCATACAGCAGGTACGGCACAGAAATATGAACACATTGGCAATCTTCAACAGCGTGGACTCAGCTGAGAGAAAAGCAAACAACAGGCGGATGGTGAAAGACAGCGCATCATCACGATAGCACACTTAGGGCGTCTGTCAGCACTTTAAGCTCATCCTTCACACCTTCCAGGCCTCCTTGGATCTTCACTGGGTTGTCCAGTACTTCAACACTGCTGGTATATGGATCAAATCTGACTGAGAAGGGACGCTTGATGCCAGCTACATAAGCCCTGGTCAAAATTGTAAAGATGTAAAGAAGTCAGAAACTTAAAGATCTCAAATGGGGCTGTCTTTTTGCTCCAACTGAAAGTATGGACTAAAGCAACCAAGCCTGCAAATTGTCCTTGTGTTATAATTTGCCATGTTGTACATGCATGCAAATTATTGAGACTGTGGATTCCACAACATAAAGAAAACACTCCTATGTAATGATGCTCACAATGTTCTCTGTGCTCTTTCAAACATTCCAGTGCGGGTATTTTCTCATCCAGTGTGTCGGGGATGTCATGTGTTGCATTCTACTAGAGGCTGAATATTGTGAAAACACTCACTTAAGCTACTTGTTTTGCAGGGCAGCATTTGATCTGTTTGCCAAATAAAACTCCAGACTTTTGCCTCGGTAAGGAAGACTACATTAGGAACAGCTGTCTTCTGGCTGCTATGGCTGACCTACAATAGTTTGTGGCCTCGGGGGTTGGCTGGCTGTTCTCTGACCTCGTCCTCACATAACCTCTCTCTTTGTTGTTTTTCGTTGTTGTTGTTTTTTTAAATTTTTTTATCAGTTCTGTATGTTCTTATGTATGTGTATGTCTGGTATGATAAAGAGCAGTACCTGAATTTCTCCTTGGCATCTGAAAAACTCTCAGAAATAAAGTAAACAGGCTGGTATGTCTGGTCTTGATAGGGCTGCACTGCTGCAGCCTCTGGATCAAACTCTCTTGTCTCTGGTTCATCAGACAGAGAGTGCTGGAAGTTTAAAAAAATGGAGAATTAGCTAACAGCTGTCTGTGTGTGCTGCATTAAAGGAAAAAAAAAGTTTGAACGTACCACAAGTTCACCATAAGAGGAAAGCAGCCCAGCTCCATAAGCCCTCACCTCACCATTTTGTTTACATAAGCCATACTCGACCGTGAACCAGTACAGCTGATGGAAAAACAGAAAGCAGGTGACTGAGAAGAAGTATGGACAATCAGTGCATTAGTTACATGTTAGATTTTAGACAAGAGGCTGTCCAAAGTAATGCATTTTCAAAGATATTTTAGCAATAGTTAATTCCATTGTTTACTATATGGGATATGTATCTTAGTTCGTGCTCGAAGCCCAGGCTAAGAAGGGTGGGAGCATGTGTGTGTGTGTGTCTCTGTTGGGAGATGGGCTGGCAACATGAGGTTCAACCCCAAACTTCACTGCAGTTATATTTATACAGTTTGTATGTGTTGTTTGTGTTCGAAGACAAAAGTCTTACTGTGGACAGTTTCTCAATATCTTCATCCGATGCCCCCAGTGAAGCCAAACCAAGGTTCTGTGGAAAATAATAGATCAGTTCTTGCTAAATAGCACAAAAGAACTGAATGATCTGTAAGGCTGTTAATCTCTTCAGCACTAACCTGTGAAAACTGGGCAAAAGTGCGATCAGCCAGCATGGGTACGTGGCCCAGTAATTCATGGACGCAGTCACTGAAGAGAAAGCAAAAGTTATTTCAATTCACGACAATGTTTGATCTTGAATGAAAAACACCACACAGTTCAGTTTGATTGGATGCAGACTTTATGATCACAAACTGGAAATTCAATCTGATTACATAACAGTTACAGAATGAAAGCAAGCCTGTTCTCTAAAGAAAAACATATCGAATCTTAAAATAATTACATAAACACAACAGCTTTTGCATATGGCAGCTTTTTAATATGAATTGTTGTTGCTATTAGCAGATGCTATGTGTAATTTCACTTGCATTTGTTTTTATGGAGTTATTTCTGATTGTATACTTTATAATTAGTTGAAGCACAAAGCCAAAAGAGTCACAGTAGTACTCACGGTTCTGGGGAGTGCATGGGGGAGGAAGCATGTCGGATGTACTGGGTGCACTGGAACACTCGGAATGCCAAACTGGCCAGAAAATCTCTGGCTGAGAGCAGGCCCGCCACTGGACGCAGCGCAAATCCTGTGCGCTCTGCATGTGTGTTCAGGGGGATGGTGGTGAAGGGACAGTAAGCAAGAGAGAGAGAGAGAGCGAGAATCAAATCCTGATAGGTGGAGTCGACATTCGCTAAGCGTCTGTATTTACGTATCTTTTCTTTTCATTTTGTCTTATCCCATTTTTACCTTTGAGGAAGCGTGACACATCTTCCAGCTGGGGAATGTTGTCTGGGCTGTACCCACAATGCCTTTCTAGGAGACAAAAAGCCTCAAGGTATTCACTGCAGGCATGGGTGGTGTACAAGTCCCTCAGGGTTGAATATACTTCTCGCCTAAATCAAGATTTAATTACATAAAAATTGAGATTTCATTTATTAAAATCAAAATCTTGGAAAAACTGGAAATAAGCAAAACTGCAGTGTAGTTTTAGAGTTATGGTTAGTGTTATGCGCCTGCTAATTAACAGTGTTTAAATTGGATTTATCCTGCAATGTTTAACTATTTCAAGCAATTTATTTCTTGCATCATATTTATAGAGCTCTTTTTTATTATGCTGTGTTTTT